TGACAAAACTCACAAAGTATCAGATTTCAAAGCACGTGTTTTCATGGGAGCTACGGAATAGGTGCGCAGCGGTAGTAACACCAAAGGAAATCTAAATAAGATAATTTCGTTTACATAAACTTAACAACTACCGATGCGAACAGAGACCTCCTGTAACTATGACGAAATAGAATAAAGTTCCTTAAAACAAATGTTCTTGACGGTCAATTCAACGTCATCCTGACTGGCAATCTTCAGGCTCAATCTATGTTAACTACAATCCACTAGGCACTGCATACTGGCTATCAGCGGAGGTAACAAATAAACTGACTCTTTAGGAACATGACAATTCCAGGCGGCACAGTTTCGTTCTTGGCCGTTTGAGAACTGTTGCCGTAGTTTTTCACTTCCCTTTTCTTCTGTCGGTTTGCCTGTGTTTCACAGTAAACAGATTCGAGTTCCATTCATGAGTAACGTTCCAAACTTCCAATAATTATTTCCATGATCCGGCAAAAGTTTAATGGTTCCAAGGTTCCCAGGTTTAAAATACTCACTAATGATCCAAGTAAAGTTTAGTTTTTCCAATGTTTTAAGATAATCCATGTAAAATTTTAATGTTTCTAAGGTTTCCCAGGTAGTTCAAGTTTAATTATTCCAATCCAAAAGTCCAATCCATGTCAAAATCTTAATTTCTGGGTCAGTGGGGACAAAATTCATGTGGTTTCACCACCAATTCTTCGGTTTAGAGCATTTGGAAACATCAATATTCTGAAACTGTGCAAGATCTTCAAGCCAACGCGACCACTGCATTTTCTCTGGTTCATCAGTCAGACCGTCCCAGCTTAATTTCTTGCAGAAAAGATCTTGTAGCAGTAGTTTGTCTTTCATAGTATAGGGAGCTATAAAGCCAAGTGGATCAAACAGTGAGCTAACAATTGCTAAGATCCCACGTCTCGTATCTATCCTTTCTGTGCAAGATGCTGAAGCCTTCCTCATGCCCTCCAAATAAACTTGTCCGCTTCTACTTTCCATTTCAATCCAAGTGCACACTCAGTTGGCAATTCTTGTATGTCAAGGTTCGCTACTGAGAATGCTTTCTCAGTTTCTGGAATTTCAGCCAGTACCCTTCTATCGTTACTCAACCACTTGGTCAATCTAAATCCGCCCTTTGCTCGCAATTCTCTTAGCTGTGTCGAAAGCTGTACTACCGTCGTGCGAGTATCAACAGACTTCATTAAATCATCCACATACATGGTCCTTTCAAGGGTTTGGACTACATCGGGATCAAATTCTGTCCCATAAATCGATGCAGTACTCTTTAGACAGAAGTTAGCAACACTTGGCGAGGACGTATAGCACCAAACAATTTTTGCCATTCGGTATTCTTGCGGCTGCTCATTGGGTTGACCGTCTGGGGAAGCCTGATGGAACATTCCTTCTTCATCAGCTTAAATGGCGGTTGTTTCTTGCCGAAACCTGGTCAACACTCTTACTAGTGGATTTGTGAAGTCAGGACCCTGTAACAACTGTTGAGTCAAGGATATTCCATGATACTTTGCAGCGCAGTCAAAGACAATTCTAACTTTACCAGGCTTCAGGGGTGCGTTACAGGGTGGTGGGATAGATACCACACTGGCTGCTCCTTTTTGTCTAATTCATTCTCTGGCACCTTCTCTGCATATCCCTTGGTTAGGTAGTCTTGAATTGCAGAACAATATTTTTCATGCAGGTCTTTGTCTTTACTTAACCGTTTTCTCAAGAGATCCAGTTTTTGCTCTGCCATCACTTTGTTATTGGGTAAGTACGGTGGGTCTTCTCGCCACGTTAGTCTAACTTGAAAATGTCCATCTCGCCTTTGAAGCGATTCTCTTATCTTGCTTAAAGCTTTATTGTCCTCAACAGATGGCAATGTTGTTGTCCCAACGATCGAGTCCCTGAAATCGGTCTTCCAAAGCTTTTCAAGTTGGCCATCCAAAGTTTCATTGTGAACTGTGGGTACATCATCATCTTCATTTTGAAGAACATTAACATGGAAACGAGGCTCATATTCTGTAGACGCGAACCGCTGCGCTGTTTCATTCTCATCTTTCCGCTTCTTTTTTTCTTTACTGATTTGTTCCCTGGAACCTTTATCCCTCAGAAGGTTTCCTTGTGTCACATGACCGTCCTTCGTAAACACAAAGTTTACTGAACAATCACGATCTTCTTTCTGGTCGCCCATGGGACCCATCACAGTCCACCCTAAACTATACCGTGTGGTTATATGGGTCATTATCTCCACCAGTCTTTAACTCAAGCGGGAGGAAAAGTGTTGGTCTTTCCTTCAAACCAATCAGAAGACAAACTTCTCCATTTTCGATAATGGGAATGTCAATGCCGCGTAAATGAGGCCAGCGAACGAGGTGTTCTCTCTTTGCGATGCAACTTGTCGAAATTGACATATTAACAACTGTTTACACACTGGACAGTTCGACTTCTAAAGAATTATCAATCGATTTCACCACAAGATCCACCAATTTACTATCCACCTTTTTATAGCCTGTCATTCCGGTCAGAGTGAATTCAAATCTTTCACCATCTAATGCAATTAATTTCACTAGCCGTTCATGGAACAAAGTTACTTCAGAGCCATTGTCAAAAAGGGCATATGTGTCCATCACTTTACCACTTCCTTTACCTCGAACTTTGATTGACAGTTATGATTCCAAGACACACCCGCATTTCTCCAGCTCCAGTAACCGTTACCATTACCGGCCCCAGTTTCATTGCGAGATCTAACTGTTAATTTACTTGGTTGTAACTGCTGTGGGGGGCTCACATCTCTCAATCCAGCATTCTGATTTCGCTGTCTTGCGTCTCTCGCATTTGATTCACTGCTAGTTCCTCGTTCTGTTCTCACAGGGTTTCGGTGCATTAAGGTGTGGTGACCTCCACAATATCCAGAGTGTTGGCACTTGAAGGTCACCTTTGGGCAATCCTTAGCAATGTGCCCTTTTGCTAAAAACTTGTTACAAAGTCCACCTCGTTGCACAACTTTCATTTTCTCTTCATGTGATAAGCCTTTAAAAAGTTCACACTTCCAAACTTCGAGTTGTCCTGAGCAAACGAGACTAACAATTTGTGCATTTAAGGTTCCACTTTGACCACGACTGTTCAGACCACTTCCAGTCGCGAATGTTTGCAGCTGTTGTAAAGTTCCATCAGAATTCACTTTCTTTTTCCGCATATTAGTCTCTCTTGCAAACACGCTGTTCATGTCTTGCCCGAACTCGTTGTCCACCAACTTCGCCCCTTCTTTTATGAACCTATCGAAGTCCTGAAATTTAGGTCTATGCCCTGAATCAATTATCTTCCCAGCGCATTCAGTCCATTTTGCTTTAAGAAACATTGGCAGTTTCTTAGAAAGTTCTCTCAATGTGTTCATATGGTTGAAGTCAGTTACATATTTAATGCCCATTCCAGTCAGTGTACGGTCTGCGTTATCCAATTGACTTCCAAATTCTAACAGAGACGCTCCATCCGCATTCTTAAGGTTAGGTAAATTCAGCAATTTCTTTATATGGGCCCCTGCAATTATGTGAGGCTTTCCAAAGTTCTCAGGCAATGTTTCCTTCGCCAGTCGGTAACCCCTGTAATTATGTGAGGCTTTCCAAAGTTCTCAAGCAATGTTTCCTTCCCTACTGGGTAACCCTCACTAGCAGGCAAGTTAAAGCAGCTTTCAATCGCATCCCTTGCTTTACCTGTGCAGTGCTGGATGAGAAATTGTAATCTTCGGGAGTCATCAGGGTTATCCTTCTCTAACTATGTCTTAAAGTTGTGAAAAAAGGTGACATACTTCAGTGGGTCACCGTCAAAGTGCTGATACTCTACTTTGGGCATCACCACCAGCTGTTTTAATGCTTTAACCAATTCCAAACTATCATCATTTTGCTGAGTCTCTGTCGGTTGGTGCTTAGCACTTTGCAAGGTATGGGCCAGTGGACTCTTCCAGTTTAGAGACCAAGATTCTTTAACACACTGACTAATCACCGTCTGTGTTTGCTTACATGAAGTTTCATTTGCAACATTAATGGCAAAAGTTTGACTTGCACTCACCGAATCTCTTGACTGTTCAATCACTGCATTACTTCCCCAAGAACATTTAGGAAACAATTATATCGTGAATGAGGGAAGAGGGGGCAAGGAGTGGCTAGTACTCTTGCCTGCATGGTTTGTCACAGATAAACTTGAGTGGGTTGTTTGTTCCAAATTGGTCTCACTAGTTTGTGCTGCACTTTTCTGTCCAGGATCTTGTAGTGAAGTGGGGCACAAATAGGGCAAAAGATATTCATCGATGTCTGTTTCCTTTCATTCAAGTCATCCTCATAAATTTTAAGTGATACAGCGGCCTTTTCTGCCTCCATTTCGGCCTCTAATAATTCCTTTTTTGCTCTAATAGCTCGTTCTTCTTCATCCAATAATTGCTTAAGTTTAAGTCTATGAAGGTTTAGCTGAGCTAAAGCTAGTTTCTCTCTCTTTTGAGACACTGAGGATAATCTCGAACTTGATTAAGAAAGCAAACTATGCCCATCTTTGCTTGCTTTCTCTGAAACTACACCCCGATTGCCGTCAATTGCTACTCGCCCTGATTCACTCTTTCCAGCCATAAATTCACAGAAAGATCAAGATTAAGTTTTCGCTCCATTTGTTCATCATAACTTTTTACAGCCTTATCTAACAGACAAGCGTCCCCACCATAATATACTCTCAACAACTGTAAATAATTTTCATGAACATTCACAAACTTAGGCCAAGCTTCATCAAACTGACAACATCCGTTCAAAACATCTTTCCGAGCTCCATCTTCTTTTATCAAATGCATAAGCCTGCATGTTACGTACCTTTGTCAAATTTCCCATGTGTCCAGCGCGGGAATTGAACAAAGCTGCCCTTTTCCTCACCAAATCGATCTCGTAAGCACGCGTTTCGCTTAACTACAGATTTTCCATGCTCTCTCCTTCTTTAGATGCTGTTGCCTAGTCCCTTTCATCGAATCTAGTGTCCAGATCCTCATATCTAGTAGTAAACAATTCTTTTATCAAAGGCCGTTCGGTTCGCGTTGAGCCAAACGAATTTTCACGCTGCGCCATCTTCGAACACGCTTCCACTGCTTTCACATGTCTTCATCCATTAAAAACTCGTAAACAGTCGAAAACTGTTACGAACATAAGTCGAACACTGGAACTCCGTACGTAAACCTTATCTTTTTATTCCATAAAGGATTCCACGTTCCGAATAGATCCAGATCCTAATAAATCAACAGCCTGAATTGCTGGGTCAAATCCAATTTACAAAGAAGTCAGAGTAGTTCCAAACGAATTCAAATCCAATCCCGTAAATCCTACGCACGAGTTAGGTTTTCTAAAACCAAAACATAAATCCACTATGAATTTAGTGTTCGAAAGTTCGAAGTGAACGTCCGAAATACAAGAGGAAAACTTACCAACTGTTTTGAGTTCCATACGCAAAGCTTTAAAATGACAAAGCTCACAAAGCATCAGATTTCAAAGCACATGGTTTCATGGTAGCTACGGAATACGTGCGCAGCGGTAGTAACAATAATGATAGTATATAGATTTAGCCAGGGCTAAAGCGAAGCTCTCGATAATTTTTATAGTTTGCCCAAACAAAATATAAAATCGTTTAATGCTAAGCGGCGAAAGTAACGAGAACAGTGAAAAAAACAGGTCTAATGACCAAAAAATCAAATTTGCACGTGCAGCACACTTTTTTGTATATTTCTTTGCCGTTGTTTTGCACGACCGCTGCGTGAAACTTCCATAAACTTCCTAGTTACACATTTTATGGAGGAAATGTCGGACGAGTGCTTGTTCACTCTTTTTCTCACTGTAGCTCATTTTCACCCAGGCGGCCGCTATCATCCCGCCGCTACAAAATTTCAAGTTGTTCCTCCGACAATAAATGTCTCCTTTTGTTTTTTTTTCTCTCTCGCTCTAGCTCCTTTTCTCGTTGAGCTTCGCTGATCTGTCGTCCTTCTTTCTCTTTCTCTGTATTCCAAATTTGTGACATGAAAATTAATTTAAACTTAATATTTTAGACAACACGGATACAGAAACATTTTCCGCTTACTGTTTTCATCTTTATTGACTCTTTAGTTGTCTCATCTAAACAGGACTCGGCTGGCCATACGCTTTCCCGCCAAAATAACCTGACATTTGGCATCGGCTTACATGTAATGAGTGTACGGACGGTCGTTCGGGCATACGCTACGTCATAATCAAATTTTCTTGCTTTTCTTGGTTGCCAGTGTATCTTAGCAATGGGGCTCCGCCGCGCTCGCTTCGCCCGCGGGAGCTCCACTATGAATAAGACAAATAGATGTATAATTGTATTTTGGCCTGAACGTTGAATAATTTCACTGAGGGTCCGTCCGTTAGAGGTAAAACAATAAAATTGGCGGTCGGGACCATAAGACTCTAAATTCTGCATAGCGGGAGTAAAGAGAGAAGTCAAATTGAAGAATACAATTGTGTAGTTCCAGAAAATATCCATACCCCGCCCACCAACGGAGGGCAACGAAAATTCAGAGGGGAGGGAGGTCCAAAAGGAGGCAATTTCCGAGGGAGTGGTGGGTGGCCTCTCGAGTATTTTTTCCGGGGGACTCCGAGATAGATTGATGAGCAAGCTATCAGTTATTTTACTGTTAATCAGTGTTTCAAAACAAAAACTATTCTTTCCATCGATGATCTTTTATATGCGGTAGGCTGAGTGCTTTTTTCACGGCTTGCACTGTCGTCGGCTCATTAATTAACTATGTTATCCATCTGTGTTTTGGTATCCATCATAGGTTTTTAACTGGTTCCATGATTCTCAGTTACTTACCGTTAATAATTAAATAAAAAATACCTCTTCAAGGCAAAATTGAGATTATTTGACACTCTATTAACATAAATGAAAAGATTTTTTCCTCCATTTATTGCAGAAACAATTATCTTTCGCCTAAAGTATTGTGCAACGGCATTTTCGTTGAAAATATTCTTTCCAGGGGGTACCCAGATTACGGAAATTGCTTATTTTCAATTCAACTACTATTCACAATCCAGCTAGTGTGGCGCGCACAGGGGTTCTAGCCTCCTAAGTGATATGGCTTGGGTTCGAATCCTGGACACGATGCCATAATATATTTGGCCGTTGCTAGACGGTAGACGGTAGACGTTTGAAGGAAAGGACGTTTGATGCGAGATCCTGAAAAACGAAGGTTGAGCATCGCAGGGATTCTTTAGGAACCGCTCTTGAACACCATGACGATTGCAGCGATCACCAAGATAGAGATGAGATGAGACGAGCTTTAAGACTATCATTACGTAGAAACCAGACTAAAGTTACATGAAGGGGAGATTGGCTGCTTACGAAGTGGAACTTGGTCTCATTTTCTCGCTTTGATAGCGGGAGTTTTGAGTGAGTATGTCTGCTCAAGAGGAACGACGAGTGGGCGTATTTGACTTGGCTCGCGCTACGTTAGTTGCAGCACACAAGCTTATGGACGAAGCTTGTGAGCTCATGTTAACCAGGGTCTTGATAATCTTAAACCAGAAAAGTGATCAGCCTCTGAAAAGTTGTCGAAAACCCTAGACTCGGATGTCCACGTTGGCAGAACGATTAAGTTGAACGTCGGTGGAAAGATATATAAAACTACGCTAGGGACCTTGAGGAAAGATCCGAATTCTATGCTGTGTGCAATGTTTTGCGGAAGGCATGAAGTGAAACCAGACGCCGAAGATGGGGCATATTTTAATGACCGCGATGGTAAACTTTTCAGGTAAGTTTGCAAACTGTAAGGATAGAGAGACATTTAGATTTAAAGTTTTCCGCGTGAGCACAAAAAACGCCAAAGAATTGTGCACGAAAATGAGTACAACTCATTAATCAATCTATTGATGCCATACCCACGTCATACACGTAATTGTCAATTTATGGTATATAAAGAGTTGTGACACATAGTTAATGCAGTAGGTCCAACGGCGCGTAAGCGACCGGACAAGCTGAAACTGTAAAATCCGCTGAAGAAGACAGTAAAGTCGAAACCGGTCCGGAAAATGGCTTGTTTTGGTCGAGACGGCTGGATCGGTACTCAACCATAAGTACCATCCTTAATTTCCAGTGCGAAACCGCAAGGGAGGTTCCGTAACGGGGAATGAGAAGCATGCTGAACCTAGACACCTTCTCTTGGCAAGAGAGCCCGTGCAAATTATATATATATATATATATATATATAGACCAGTAGGTGAACTACTCAAATCCTGAGTGCATGGGTGTTTAATACAAGCCTGTTTCGTAGGCCACCGAAAAGGTGACCCACTCTTCAGTTAAACTCCATTATTACACTGAAGCGTCAGGGTCTACATCAAGAAGAGTGATCGCGTGATAAAAACGGTTACATATAACGTTTGAAATTTAAATTTTTAAGAAATTTTAGAATGAAAAGCGCGTGCTTGCTCTCAATCGCCTACAACTCTTACACGAAACCTAAGTCGCACGAAAGCTCGCGCTACAATCTCTGGCTTTCACATGTCCGATTGTACCTTAGAATGAACTTGCGTCGATGTCTGCATGTAGAGACAAGTTCGTTGCGCTTGTTCAGTGTTGCCATGTGAGGCAACATTTCTTTGTCGTTTGCGTTTCTGTGATGGCGGTTGCTGTGGTGGTTTGTTGAATTCTAGTTTAAAAGCATAGCCACTCTTTCGTAATGCTTCCTGATACGGAGCCGATGCTTCATTAAAAACCTCGTGGTCGGAAGAAACGCTGGATAGCCGCCGGTTAATTGCTGCGGGTATGTTTTTTGAGGATGTTGGGTGGGTGGTTCGATTGACTGTGAACGTAAAGCGGGGTGGTGGATGGCTTGGAGTATGGTTTAAATTTTCCGGTGATTAAATCCAGTGTTACATCTAGGAAGTTAACAACTTTCTTGTTTGCATCAACTGTGATTTTCAGGTTGTTGTTCGCAAATATCTGGCCCCATTTGTTCGAAAGGTGGATAGCGCTATCAACTGGATAAATCACTATCTAAAGGACAGCGCAATTGGTTTCGTAATACTTATCCTCTGGATAGCGATTTATCCGATGGATAGCGCTATCCACCTTTTGAGAAACTGAGGCCAGAAGGAAGAAATTCAAAGGACGCTAATGCAATTACACTCCAGGGTGCCTCCAAGGCTGTTTAAAACATCGGTCATAGACAATGAACTCAGAGACAAGGGCCCTTTTGTTCGAAAGATAGATAACGCTATCCACTGGATAAATCTCTATCCAGTGGATAAAGCAATTCATTTCCCTTATATTTATCCGCGGGATAATGATCTATCCGATGGAGAGCGCTATCCGACATTTGAACAACCGGGTGAAGGAAAACAAATTCTCTCTGCCTAACCCGAGAACTGATTTTGTTTTAGACCCATCTTCCACGGATTGTCAGAGCCTTATTTAAACTACGAGTTGTTGTGGTGTGGTAGCTGCGATTTGAAAATGAGCCACTCACTCTTTCACTCACTCCCTTATCTGTAGACATTAGATTAGCCGAACGAGAGCGAACAATATGAAAACGACAGTTCTCGTAGAAAGCGACTATATACTTAAGGATACATCAAAAACCATGTGCTTGTCAAACTATTTGTGGACACTCTTTGGCTCTGAACTCGAGAGACCTGTCCGATTTGAAAACGACATATTGTCCATGTTGCCAAAGTGCGCGGTTATCTTTAAAGCACTTTAGGAGTGCGCAACCTTATGAGACAACCCTGCAACGCATTTGTCACTCACGGTCGCTGCGATCTAAGGCCTTTCCGAGTAAGGATCAGTACTTGGTGTTGATTCTATAGATGGCGTAACGCTCACGAGTATCTTGATTATGCATGCGCCCTGGTACGGTTTAAATTTCCAGAAAACATGACAAAGGAAGAACGATGCCGATAAGTCGCGCTATTTTCGTGGTTTATCTTTCTCACCCCAGTCATTCTAGCGAGGAATGGGTTACAGTCTGCGCCAAAACCGCCTCATGTAAGGGCATCCGGATTCTGGAATCCGGGAAATTTTTGTTTCTTCTATTCGCAATCCTGGGCTTTTTTGAATCCGGAGTACAAATAAAGGAATCCAGAATGCCTCTGTGTGTAATCAGCCGATTTCCTTGTACATTTGAACCTTGTTTTTCAGTGAGGCGGATCTTACACGGGTGTGTAAGAAAAATTATTTGTCCAAACCGAATCACTCAATGCCTTCTTTAAGAGTCAAATGGTTGGTCTCTTAGCCAGAACTATCCAAATATAATGACTTTACTGCCCAAGCAAACTGCCAGTGGTAACCAAGAGAAAATGGTGGAAAAGAGTGGGAACTTCCAGTCTAGCCCGTGGAATATGTAAATTTCACCAAATTTATTTTTAGACCAATTAAAGCCCTAAGATTCGCTTTCTGTCCCATTATTCCCTTTTATGGAAACAAAATAGCCAACAACAGACTTTACACATCTTGATGCCTTGCTACTGTTGGGCTTCAGTACATTAAGACACAACCGTGATAAATGGCGTTTCCCGAATAGAGCGTGATTCTTGATCTTAGCTAAATTTTAATTTGTTTCAACGGAAAAGACTAGGCAATTTGCTAGGGAAATAAAATACTCCATCAAAATTCGTTTGAGGCATTTTTCCAGGCCTTCTAAATTTCCCAGAACCCAAATCTAGACAGGATATATATTGTGAGTTGAAAAAGTACGCCATCAAATAATTGCTAGTTTACAAGAATGTTTGGGAGTGAACCTCAAGCTTTATTTGAAATAAAATCAGATTACATGAACACACTTCTTATACGTGACACTAATAAGCTAGAACCAAATAGACATGAAATAAAGGGTTGTTTACATACAGGGAGGAAGATCCTAGCACTAGAAAGATTCTAAGATTAGACGGGACACTAGCTAGTACTAGGGACAAACCACACAAACATGGTGGCCGGGGGTCGTTTGTATAGGTAATAGCATGATTTGTAGTGATATTGGGCATAAATACCACGAGTGATATTTCAAAATTGTTATACGCAATTTCACGAGCCGCTTGGCGAGTGAAATTTTAGACAATTTTGATCTTATTTCATCTCGTTCCGATTCGCTAATTATCACGCTATAAAAGAAACAATTGATATGTTCTACCATAGTTAATTGAGTGGAATGGTTATGAAACCCGTCAGACTCCTTTGTTATATGTTTTTGTGGACCTGAAAGTGCACAACGTTCAAAAGAATTCCTATCATTTTGATTGTATTGACCAATAAAAACGTTGCATTAATTTATTCCGTAACAATTTGCCAACAGAAAACAAAGGATTGTGCACTTTCAGGGTGCTTCCAACATAAACTGCAGCACTGTTGTTTTTATCATTGATGTTTGCCGCTTTTCATAACCAGTCTCCTCTAATAACTATGGTTCTACTACTATCTGTGGAATGGCAAGGGGACAGAATCAAGGGATGAATTATGATCAATAAAAACTGAGTATGGAGGCCTGAAGATGATTGATCTCTGCTCTCTCTGTTCGAAAAACTACGCATGGTAACATCATAACAAAAGTAAAAGCACGTTTTTTGCATCAATACCAAGGAGAAGGTTTCTGAGTAGAAAAAAAAAAAAAACTTCAGACTCTGGGCTTTATGTAGTTTGTCCCTGACATTAAACAACATCCAGGTTGTAAAAAAGACTGAATTGCGCAAATGGTTTTGTTTTTGTTTGTTTGTTTGTTTGTTTTTTCTTTCTTTCTTTCTTTCAAAGTAATAGGACGATTGCACGATGACGCCATTTTACTATAACTACCAGAATCCTTGAGTTTGTTGTTTTCTTGTGCAAATTAAGGCTATTGTTCTTTAATCCTTAGCGGCATTGACAAACATAAATAACAAAGCAAAATCGAAATGAATTCTGGTAGTTGTAGTCAAATATCATCATCGGGTAATTGTCTTATTGAAGAGAAGAGAGTCAAGGATTGTATGCCTGTACGTACAAATTAAGTCCACCGAGGAGGCACAGTTGGTGAAGAATTCGAAAAAATGGCGAAGTAACTGCAAACACTGATTTCTACAATTTATTTGGTTCTTTAATTCATTTCTTGATTTAACAGCATTTCTATAATGATTATAATAGCCCATCACCGTTATTTTGTTTATTCTTTAATCCATAGCTTTTTAAACACCAATGTAACTTATTACAGCCAGAGAAAACAGTTGACATTTCGTGACACACCACCACTGAAAAAGGAGTCTGAGGAATGAGCGAAAAAATTTCACACTGAGGACGTGATACTAAGCAGATCTGGGTAGTGCTTTTGATTGATTGAGGCAAAGTTTCAGCCAATCAGAAACACTACCTAGATCTGGGTGGTATTCGTGTGATGTCATCAGTGTAGAATTACCTAGTTCGTCCTCAGACGTCATTTCGCAGGGAAACGAGTGGTGGCGTTCTGAAATGTCGGCTGTTTTCTCAAGCTAAAATAATCTTTAATACCCATCACCGCTTATTCATACTTTACAAGCATATTTTGAAAGCTCTTTGCGAAGGCTTAGTGCCTATTCGTTAGCGCAAATCGCATGTCATGTTATAGATCGTTTTCACTGTCACGAAACAAAAAAATTTAATTGGAAACCGTCCAGTGGAAGAAACCAAGAAAATGAAATGTTATAAATGACTATTATATAAACAATTTGTCCAAGTCTCAGGTCTTTGTGGCCCATAGTTTGTGAGTTAGTTGCCGAAACGTTTCACGCACCTTTGTAGAGCTTTGTATGGAGACGCCATATTGGTGCACCGTTTTGGTGCACCAATATGGCCGCCGGAAATCAACAAAAACATCTGGAGTTTACTTTTTCTATAAATCTCTTTCTTTTCACTCGAGAACTAGCGTACGTACGTATAAACATATCTTCTAATACTTGAAGTGGTTATATTGCTGAAAATCAAGAGGAGAGACCTTTTTTCAACAAGACAACATTCCTATTTTGGTGTCACGCACTGAGAAAACTCGGAAGTTCAAATTGACGTATTTTCGACATGAAACATGCTACGGAAATGGAAACTTGTACAAAGATTTACTTTTTGTTTATCTTCAACCTAGTGTAACTAAGAATTTGTAAAACCTCGCTATTTTGACTTTACAATTTGATGACGTCACAGTGAAAACCATCTATATAAACGACTATCTTGTGATCAGCCGATAATGGGCAATATCATCTTTTGTCTTCCTCCAGGTATTGATAATAAACATCCATAGTGTGAATATAGTGATCAAGCATTTTTGCCGGACACTTATACTTGTCTGCCTTTTTAAAACAGTTGATGTACTCGGTCGTTGCGGACACGAAATCCATCGATTTACCTTCCTTCATCAGGTTTTCAGATAGCAACATGCATTTGCGCATCGTAAGTCCAACGCAATCATGCCATTCGTCCTTCTCTGGAATCAAATAAAATATATATACATATATACACATTGAAGGGCAAGCACTTGCTACAATAATGGATAATAATAATGGAGGGGAAAGAGAACTGCAATATATTTTCAGAAAGGTTGCACTTCTTTACGAGGGTACCCTGAATTTACAAAAATTTACGAATACTGCATTACCGTCCCAAGGGCTTTTGTCCAGGATTGTAGTTGTGCAATAATTTCGAGTGGCATACCGTGAAATATATCCCAGGAGTAACTTGATTTTTCTCAGTGTTCACAGTTTTATCTATAAAACATTCAAATCAATAGTGGGATATTCGCGGTATACGAAGAGAAAGCATTGCATGACTACGGTCGAACCTCTGGTCGCTGCATCAGAGTACACGAAAAAACTAACACAAAACTAACTCGTTTACGGAACTTAGAAATCGCATGCAATGATTTCTCTGACACGAAATAGATGTGTCGGGACCTTTTCTCAGAAAAGACTACCTCTGGTTCGAGTCTCGTTAGCGACCACCTCCCGTAAGCGTCCACTAATAAGCAGTTCGGCTGGTTCGGCTGGTTGAAGCGAGTCAGAATCTGAATCATTCCCTTGATGCCTAATGTTTAGATATGTGCTACATCCTATCAAGATTCACTGTCCTATGTAAAAATGAAACTTCTTACCAACATTCTTCAAATTTTCTTTCTCCATTACACCTTCAAAAAGAGAAATTATTTGACATCAAAATAGATCCTTGGTTTAAACCCCTCCCAACGCTAAAAGAGAAGGTAGTCAGGGGTGGTTACGATATATGACATTGAAAAAGATGACAATGGGGCCAACAGAAATGCAAGTTTGCATTTTTGTCTAAAAACGGTGTAGGGCAATAACAGGTTAGAAGAGTAAAATGTTAATGACAACCTATTTTAGACCTAAAGCATAAATATGTGCTTAGTTTCTATACTAACTAGCCATAAACTATTGGCAAATAAAAGTATATTAGGGACCGGTCATTATTTATCGCCTGCGGGAGGGGTGGGGGAGGAAGGGGGGGGGCACTTGATTCTTGGGAGAACAAAAGGGGGAATCAGTCGTAACTGAGAACCCAAGAGGGGGGATCGCTGAAAAATTTGGAAGGATTCGGAGGGGGGAACCACTCAAATTTGCTTGGAAAATGAAGGCATATGAAGCAGGGGATCGCGAAAGTCATCAAAAGTTATTAGGGGCGATCACTTCACTGAAGAAACATTCAAAGGGGGGATCGGCTAAATTTCACCTAGTTTAGCCCAAAATCCTCGCCCCCCTCCACCCCAGCAGCGCCTTAATCCACAATAATAAATTAAAGGCCTCACATAACATGTCAAAAACTCAAGAGAGATTCCAGCCACACACACCCACCCGCCTTTTGCCTCCCCCTTGAAGCATACCGTGATCTAATGCGATCTTCTTTAGCTTTTCTGTCGGCATGTTGGCACAAATTCCAGCCCTCTCTGCTATGTACAGATGCTGCCATTCGCAAGCGGCCAAGAAATGGACGATATTGGGCTCGGGTGAGGCGTATTTAGAGGGGTCTGTATTCACAACGCAACGAGCAAACTCCTGTCAAAAATAATAATAATAATAATAATAATAATAATAATAATAATAAAGAAGTTTAGCAAGCGTTAAAGTATAGAAAAGGTTAAGAGCTCATCGAACATAGTGGCTTCTTAATATATTTGCTCAAATTTACTGAGTCTTCATGAAGAGTAATCAAAGGATATCAATGCCATCGAGAACTTCCATTATCATTATAACGTTTTCAAACCATTGATATTGTGGCAACAAATAACTCCGTGGTGTATTTTTTTATCATTGTTATCATGGTTTGAAGCCCGCTTCCCCGCTTCCCCAGTTTCAATTTCCGTAGCATGTTTCATTTCGAAAATACAGCAATAGGCCATTTGCACGATGACCTCATTTTACTACTACGACCAGGATCCTTCAGGGTTTCGCTTCCTTGTGCTAATTAAGGCTTTTGTTATTCAAACCTTACTGGGGTTACAAAATTTAAATATGAAAGGAAAAACGAAAAGGATTCTGGTCGAAGTAGTAAAATGACGCCATCGTGCAAATGGCCTATTTGAACTTCCGAGTTTTCACGGTGCGTGACACCAAAATAGGAATGCTTTCTCGTTGAAAAAAGTCTCTCCTCTTGATTTTCAGCAGTATAACCACTTTAAGTATTAAGAGATATGTTTACGCGTACGTATGCTAGTTCTCGAGTGAAAAGAAATAACTTTTATAGAAAAAGTGAACTCCAGATGTTTTTGTTGATTTCCGGCGGCCATATTGGTGTACCAAAACGGTGCACTAATATGGCGTCTCTATACAAAGCTCTTCAAAGATGCGTGAAACGTTTGGGCAAATAACTCAGAAACTGTGGGCCACAAAGACCTGAAACGTGGACAAATTGTTTATATATTAGTCTTTTACAACATTTCATTTTCTTGGCTTCTTCCACTGGACGGTTTCCAACTTAATTTTTTGTTGCGTGACAGTGAAAACGATCTATTATCTGGGAACATTTTAAAGTCGTCCTGACGTATATGTCAACATTCACAACGTCACTATGGAAGCCGAGTCTTGACAGCCAAGTTTTTCAAGATTTACTTTTTTCCTATAAAAAAAAAGATTTATATCTATTTTTCACATATTAAATTATAGCATTAACCCTATTTCATCAATATTTTCTCATATTTAATATAGGCTTTTTATTGAATGATTTGAGAAAAAAAAAAAGAATTTTAAAAAATGACCAAATGGCAGATGCTTGGTTCAATATTTTACAGTGTTAATTATTCTCGGAATTTCATAACTTGTGGATTTTCTTTTTTATTATTCCTAAGCATTCTCTTATACACTGATCAATTCTTCAATCACATTTGGCACGATGTGAACGGGTTTTAAGTAGAATTTAATACATTTAATTCAGTAATTCTAAATGGCAGATTCAAGATGGTTGATGATTCCAGATCCTTCTTAGATAACAACTGACGTCATCATGACATCACTGCTATTGTGAAAGATTATTTGTGTTATAGCCTACTCCTTGATTTTGCCAGACTTCTTACATTATCGTGTGTAATTTTGTGGCCGTATCATAAGCGGTTTTGAAGTTACAGAGTGGTAGCCTCAGAAGTCTCCCCCCGTTCGCAGGAAGCAACTTGGTCAAAAGATATCTGTTTTTATTTGAAGACTGATAAACTTTATGTTTTCTCTTCCAAACATTTATGTTTTTCCGTGACAGAAAACGTAAACTTTTCAAAAAGTTCTCCTGAGCAAAACCAGTTTATGTACTCAGACTGGGCTAAGCAGTGTCAGTGGTAACTAAGTTTTAAGCTAATAAAACTGCTTAAAAATTAAGGCGCGATATGTATAGTTTACTATCGAGAAAGTAGGTTCAGTTACACACGGCCAGAAGCGAGTTCTTTTACTGCTGTGAGCTTTAGGGAAAGGTTTCAATGGGGTTAACAGTCAGCCGTCAAACGGCCTAAAATTGAGAGTAATATTAACCGTCAAAACGTTTCAAGGTATTTCAAGTCTCACTATTTCAGCTGATCTTCACGGGCAGTTTTGGCTCCTGACGAATCTCTTCACTTGAAAATCCACTGGCCAGGTTATATAAAGAAAATTGTCTCTGTACATTACAAGACCTTACAATTTTCCTATATCTTAAAATATTTGGAAATTTTATATGTGAACGGTTCAAAGCAACCTCCAAAACACAATACTTAAATATTAATTTATACAGAAGTTATAATTAATATTTACTTTAACTCGTGAACTAAATTTTCACTAAATAACCGTCAAAAGCCCTAAAGTTTAGCCGTCCACCGTCAAAATTGAACTGACAGAAAATTAACCGTCAGCCGTCAAAGCTACAAATCCACTCTGACCCTCTTCTAGCTTCTCAATTACCTCCACGCGTTGTCAAAGGTTTTTATTTTTTGTTGTTGTTCTTCTTTTGAGGAAAGAAAGAAAAGACCGCAAGACAAGCTGATGTATACTGACTGGTGATATATAAATACTCTGTAATACTTACCCTTAGGTAAATGCAAGCATCTTCAAGGATCTCTTCCTCGGTGACAGGGCCTGATGCCAGAGCATCCACGTCCGCTTCCCATCCTTTTTTAGTGCACCTCATGGCAACTTCAAAATCTTTAAGTATTAAGAGATATGTTTACGCGTACGTATGCTAGTTCTCGAGTGAAAAGAAATAACTTTTATAGAAAAAGTGAACTCCAGATGTTTTTGTTGATTTCCGGCGGCCATATTGGTGTACCAAAACGGTGCACTAATATGGCGTCTCTATACAAAGCTCTTCAAAGATGCGTGAAACGTTTGGGCAAATAACTCAGAAACTGTGGGCCACAAAGACCTGAAACGTGGACAAATTGTTTATATATTAGTCTTTTACAACATTTCATTTTCTTGGCTTCTTCCACTGGACGGTTTCCAACTTAATTTTTTGTTGCGTGACAGTGAAAACGATCTATTATCTGGGAACATTTTAAAGTCGTCCTGACGTATATGTCAACATTCACAACGTCACTATGGAAGCCGAGTCTTGACAGCCAAGTTTTTCAAGATTTACTTTTTTCCTATAAAAAAAAAGATTTATATCTATTTTTCACATATTAAATTATAGCATTAACCCTATTTCATCAATATTTTCTCATATTTAATATAGGCTTTTTATTGAATGATTTGAGAAAAAAAAAAAGAATTTTAAAAAATGACCAAATGGCAGATGCTTGGTTCAATATTTTACAGTGTTAATTATTCTCGGAATTTCATAACTTGTGGATTTTCTTTTTTATTATTCCTAAGCATTCTCTTATACACTGATCAATTCTTCAATCACATTTGGCACGATGTGAACGGGTTTTAAGTAGAATTTAATACATTTAATTCAGTAATTCTAAATGGCAGATTCAAGATGGTTGATGATTCCAGATCCTTCTTAGATAACAACTGACGTCATCATGACATCACTGCTATTGTGAAAGATTATTTGTGTTATAGCCTACTCCTTGATTTTGCCAGACTTCTTACATTATCGTGTGTAATTTTGTGGCCGTATCATAAGCGGTTTTGAAGTTACAGAGTGGTAGCCTCAGAAGTCTCCCCCCGTTCGCAGGAAGCAACTTGGTCAAAAGATATCTGTTTTTATTTGAAGACTGATAAACTTTATGTTTTCTCTTCCAAACATTTATGTTTTTCCGTGACAGAAAACGTAAACTTTTCAAAAAGTTCTCCTGAGCAAAACCAGTTTATGTACTCAGACTGGGCTAAGCAGTGTCAGTGGTAACTAAGTTTTAAGCTAATAAAACTGCTTAAAAATTAAGGCGCGATATGTATAGTTTACTATCGAGAAAGTAGGTTCAGTTACACACGGCCAGAAGCGAGTTCTTTTACTGCTGTGAGCTTTAGGGAAAGGTTTCAATGGGGTTAACAGTCAGCCGTCAAACGGCCTAAAATTGAGAGTAATATTAACCGTCAAAACGTTTCAAGGTATTTCAAGTCTCACTATTTCAGCTGATCTTCACGGGCAGTTTTGGCTCCTGACGAATCTCTTCACTTGAAAATCCACTGGCCAGGTTATATAAAGAAAATTGTCTCTGTACATTACAAGACCTTACAATTTTCCTATATCTTAAAATATTTGGAAATTTTATATGTGAACGGTTCAAAGCAACCTCCAAAACACAATACTTAAATATTAATTTATACAGAAGTTATAATTAATATTTACTTTAACTCGTGAACTAAATTTTCACTAAATAACCGTCAAAAGCCCTAAAGTTTAGCCGTCCACCGTCAAAATTGAACTGACAGAAAATTAACCGTCAGCCGTCAAAGCTACAAATCCACTCTGACCCTCTTCTAGCTTCTCAATTACCTCCACGCGTTGTCAAAGGTTTTTATTTTTTGTTGTTGTTCTTCTTTTGAGGAAAGAAAGAAAAGACCGCAAGACAAGCTGATGTATACTGACTGGTGATATATAAATACTCTGTAATACTTACCCTTAGGTAAATGCAAGCATCTTCAAGGATCTCTTCCTCGGTGACAGGGCCTGATGCCAGAGCATCCACGTCCGCTTCCCATCCTTTTTTAGTGCACCTCATGGCAACTTCAAAAGCAGATTGAACCGTACTGCTTTCAACAGAAACTAAAACCATAGCAAAAACGATGGAGAATATCGCTGAAAACATGTTGGACAGACTGCAAAAGAAATAAAACTTTCAGTAAAAAGTTTCAAAAAGATATATATACGTTTCACCTATGACTGGCATATAACGCAACTCGAATGTGAAGAATACTTCACTGGTTGCAGTCACTTTCTGTTATCTTTTCTCTTTTATACTGAAAAACTACACAAAAGGACAAAAAAGATGAAGAATATACCATTCAAGAAAGCTTTCCTGTGACTCACAATTGACTATGACAACTAGTAGTTTGAAAAGCTCGCCTAAAATCTAGAAATTGACCAGCAAAATGTTGAACTCAGCTAAAAAACAAGCAAGAACCAAAAAAAGGTGCGCCAAAAAAAAGTTACGACAAGCAACAAGGAATATATTTTTGTACAAAACGCAAGATGCCAAATTTCTTGTTAGTGTTTTGAAAGTTTTCCACTGAGTTATCTTTTTATTTCTTTAATGTGACCCTATCAGTTTTTGATGGGCATGAGGCACTGGGTATTTCAAAATCCAAGTACTGAAATATACGTTTGGTTGCCTATGCTGATCTATACTCAGTCTGATAAATGAGGAACGTCAGTATTGCTGCATGGAAACTTGAGAAAGAAATAACATTTCTGTCATGAAAAAAAATTGAATTAAAAAAAAAATTCAGTAAAATAATAAACCGTCATAAAGCTCAACCTTGCAATAGTCACAAAAGAGAGTTCCGAAATGAAAATCTTCTGATAAATAGTTGTTAGTGAAAACTCGTTAGTGCATGGAAACCAGAGAAAGAAACCACATTTCTGTTATAAAATAATATAATTTATTTTAATAAGAAAAGGAAACAATAAACCGTCATCAAGCTCAACCTTGCAATAGTAAAAAAAGGATTCCGAACAAATCTGCTGATAAAAAAGCATTAGTTAATTTCTTTGTCATTGTAAGAAACACTGTCCATACCTGAACGAGACCAGCAGGAACGTAGTTTTGAAGGACTTCGCGTGTTTTGAGCGTTAGTTTATACTTTCAACAATATTTAAAAAAATCTAAACATGATTTAGCACTGTCATTGACATCATTGCCACCAAAAATGATTTGATCAGCTGTCAATCTATGTAAATAAATCAATTTTGCAGTAAAACCATTAAGGAGGTTTTGTTAAATTACTAAGGTGATGCCTTTTTTGCAAAAATATTAGGGCGAATAACATGAATTTTGTAATAGGTATTTTACTCCACAGACTCTACAGAGATGAGGCAAAAGAGAGAGCTGTTCCTTCCATGAATATTTCACTCCCAGGCCTGCATTAAATACTTAAAGATAAAATACTAAATAAAAACTCTAATACATTGATTTGTCCACGTGATCAATCTTGGCCGCAATATTGAAAATGGAGAGCCAGTTGTTTAAGTAAATCCATCACTCGAGCCATTTTGGAACGTGATTGTTTTTAAAATACCTTCGTATGTTATCAATGTCATGAAAATGCGATCTCTCCTCTAAATCTCAGTTTGACCCAACATGAAAACATACACAACCATAGGGTGCGGCTCGCTTCAAACCAAGCACTCGGTTTATTCTCCGAAAAGACTAAAGGATACATGACATATAAAAGAAAAGTAATATACAGTCCAAGTAACATTCAGCTCAAAAGAACTAAATCAGGAGCTAACTGAAGTGGGGTCGTGGACCAACAGCAGTAGTGGACTATTTTGAAAATTAACCTCGTTGGTGCGTTCCCTTTGCGTTCCGTGTGCGTTCCCTTAATTAATATGCATAAGTGCCTGGTCAGTGTCTTCCTGCATACCAACTCGGTATAGGTTTACTAATGAGCGTCACTCTACTTCAATAGGAACAATAGGCTTGCCTAGACTTGCCCGGTAAATAACTTGAGCCCGGTTTTCAGACCGTCTATTTAAAAGCAATAAGAGAAGCGATCACCTAGCAACGCGAGAAACGGCTTCCTATATCTTATTTAGCGCTAAAACTCAGATATACATAAACAAAACACATACAGAAAGTGGAGTTGAAAAGTCTTTATTTCAATTTAGTTTACGTCTTCTTATTTAGCGCTAAAACTCGGATATATATATAAACAAAACATACACAAATTGGAGCTGAAAAGCCTTTATTTCAAGTTTGTCTGACATTTTCTCTTTCTGTCTCGAGGAAATGAAAGTCTTGTCATTTTCACGCACGGTTAATCAGGTAATTATGCGAGCTCGCAAGCCCAAAGTTGAATACAAATTAGCTCTACAGGAAAGACTCAAGGGAGAGAATCTTGACGTATTATTATAAAACAAATATTTTAACAAGGATCAATTAAAACACGCGACTCATAATTGCAGGCAATAAAAAGACAAGAGAGATACCGTTTTAAACAACTTTATTCAAAAACAATGACAAAAAGAGTCAAATACACAGGAATGGAAATTAATTAATCTTCATCTTCGCCCATGGAGTACTTGTAAGGTTTGAATTTCTTATGCCGACGTTTCTTCAGCTGTTTGCCATGAGATTTATGATCATCCAAATAATTTAGAAATTGAATCCGACGCCTTTTGCTCTTCGGGCCTTGTTGTGATGGGGTTTCTACTGTGGGAGGAGGAGTCAGGAAAGCAGGATTTAAGGGTGGTGAAGGAGTGAGGCTTTCTTTATCAGGTTTTTGAGAGATAGCCGCTTCTGTTAATTCAGGTGTTACATTAAAGAGGTTGAGGGGAGTGGAGAATGCTGTCGTTGCTGTCGAAGAATCTTGTGTCCTGAAACAGTACTGATTATATCTTCCGGTCGTGTTCTTGTATTTAATTGTTCTTTAAAAGCCAGGTATCTGTTTTGCAACTGAACGTATCGCTTAGCTTTTTTATCGTCCCGAAGATCGTTTCGAGAAAGCACGTCATCCATGTTGCCCTGTATTTCTTGCATAGCTGGAAGAAGTGGGACAGGCGAAAGAGTTTGCTGCTTCAGATATTTTAGGAGCTCTTGAGGAATATTTTCTTGAAACCCTGCTTGGTTAAAGCCTTCTTCACTGGGCAGGACGTTTGTTCGCAACCGACAATTATCTTGGGTAGTAGTTTTCAGATCAATCAGAAGATAACCAAAAGGTCTTTTTACAGCCTCTTCGTACTGATTTAAGAAGAAATCAGTCTGCCCGGGATACATTTGCTTCGCCAGAGTCAGGATTTGCAATTTGTCTCGTGGATTCTTGAATAACACCAGATAATGGCTGTTTAGGCTTATGCTGCGGCTACCTTTCCCCTGATGAAATAGATTCTGCACGATATAAATCACGCTCAGATTGCGATGATGAGAACCACGAGTAAAGAGGTTCACAATTCGCTTGTCTTTACTGGCGTCAATCATCTGATCATCAAACACGATCAAATTCCGTTTGTTCACATCAAAATAGGAATCCTGCTCCAAAACAATAGAAATTCCCTTGACGAATTCAATGTTTGGCATGGCGACTAACGTCTGTGCATACGCAGGCTGCCATTGTGAATAACACCAAACGATCCTCTCCGGGGGAGGGTAAATGGTCTCTGAAGCTTGTTGCAATAGCGATCTAACCCAGGCCGTTTTTCCGGACCCGGTCATTCCGGCAATCATGGAGGTGAAAGGATGCTCGAAGCGAAACCGCTGACATTTCAGTGAAAATATTGGAACTGTTTGAAATGGGGTGAGACTAGCATTGCGGTGTTTAGACATCACGTGCCTTTGCATACTATCTTTTCTACTAAATGATTTTTCGCAGACAGAACAGAACTAACTCATGTCAACTCCTCAGGACCAAAATGTAGACTGAGAAAGAGGTAGAATGTTGCGCATTTATATAGGTTTTCAGGCCACAAGATTCTACTGTTTTCCTCCCCCAAGACCACCACTACCACCACCACCACATTTCTATTGTTTTCTTTCCTCCACCACCACCGCCACCACATTTCTATTGTTTTCTTTCCTCCACCACCACCACCACCACCGCCACCACCACCGCCACCACATTTCTATTGTTTTCCGTCCACCACCACCACCACCACCACCGCTACCACCGCCACCACATTTCTATTGTTTTCCCTCCACCACCACCACCGCCGCCACCACATTTCTATTGTTTTCCCTCCACCAGATTCTATAAAAGACTACCAACTGCCATTCTTAGTTCATTTTGTAGCAATGTCTCGTGTAGTGAACAACAATAGTGGTTTTCTTCAGCTGTTAGCTGCTTGCCCCGCTTATCACCGCCAGTTTCTTTTAAAGACAGCTACACCACAGCAACTTCATGCACTAGTCCAAGTCTTATACAATTTACTCATGGGACACATTCCTGTCTCCGAAGAAAATAAGCGGGTATTGCTGCCATATAAGGATGCTTTACTTAACCTGGCCAGTCCAAATGTCCCTTTCAAAACAAAGAAGCGAGTCCTTGTTCAAGAGGGTAGTGGTTTTATTGAAGATGTATTAGCAGCTGTCGTTTCAAGCTTAGGATTTCTAATGCTATAAAAGAGGTGACACATCGCTAGGTTGATCATTCGAAGCTAAGTCTGTCACGGGTGCTCATCAAAATGAAGAGAAAGATAGATTTGGTTGAAGAAAAAGATCACGAGAGTGAACATGAAGAAAGCGAAAGTTCTGGTGATGGAAGCGAGGATGAAGAACCGAGAATAAAAGATGTTTTGAGTCATCTTTCCCGAGCAGTGCCGGAAAAGCGTGCTTCTAATTTGCTGCATAGTATGGCTGCGTCCAAAGATATTCTTTTCTGGAGCCCCAACGGACAATTACTGCGAAATAAACGCACTATTCCCGTCACAAACATCGCGGAGCTAGTTGAGTATGTGTTACTCCCTCATAACAATGAGGTTACCAAGCCTCGTGCTCTGAATACGTTTCTAGATGGACTTGCAGAGTTAGGAATCGATAAAAATTTAATCAAGAACAAAAAGTTGTTAAGTGATTTAATAGAAAAGGAAAAAGGCTACCAAAATGTAGAAAATACTTCCGATAACGAGAGTAATAATGAGGAGAGTTCACCGGATATTGAAAATCAGGAGGAGGAGGAGAAAGTGGCTTCTGAGAAAGGCGTTGAAGAGGAAGACACCCAAGAGAGGGACAACGACACTGAAAACGACAGTCAGGAGATAGAAAGTAGTAACACTGAAACGTCCACCACCTTTCACTCCAAAAGTCCCTGTGAACACTGCGAGAACTCTAATGTGTACGGGACATTATCATGAAATGTCCTAAATGCCTTTGGCACGATTACTACAAGATTTGTCCTACATGCGATCACCAGATTCCCGAGGGGAGACGTTACATGAAAGACGGCTTTCTTCGGTGTCACGATTGCGGAGCAGTTACACACAAAAACGCGAAAACGTTGGAAACCAATTTCTATTCCCCTTCTACAGAGGAGAACGAAGATGAAGATTAATTAATTTCCATTCCTGTGTATTTGACTCTTTTTGTCATTGTTTTTGAATAAAGTTGTTAAAACGGTATCTCTCTTGTCTTTTTATTGCCTGCAATTATGAGTCGCGTGTTTTAATTGATCCTTGTTAAGTTATTTGTTTTATAATAATACGTCAAGATTGTCTCCCTTGGGTCTTTCCTGTAGAGCTAATTTGTATTCAACTTTGGGCTTGCGAGCTCGCATAATTACCTGATTAACCGTGCGTGAAAATGACAAGACTTTCATTTCCTCGAGATAGAAAGAGAAAATGTCAGACAAACTTGAAATAAAGACTTTTCAGCTCCAATTTGTGTATGTTTTGTTTATATATATATCCGAGTTTTAGCGCTAAATAAGAAGACGTAAACTAAATTGAAATAAAGACTTTTCAACTCCACTTTCTGTATGTGTTTTGTTTATGTATATCTGAGTTTTAGCGCTAAATAAGATATAGGAAGCCGTTTCTCGCGTTGCTAGGTGATCGCTTCTCTTATTGCTTTTAAATAGACGGTCTGAAAACCGGGCTCAAGTTATTTACCGGGCAAGTCTAGGCAAGCCTATTGCTCCTATTGAAGTAGAGTGACGCTCATTAGTAAACCTATACCGAATTAGTATGCAGGAAGACACTGACCAGGCACTTATGCATATTAATTAAGGTGACTCGACCCAGTTTTTTTGGGGGGGTGCCATCCTACTTTGAAGCTCTCTGGTATCCCCACCTTTACTTTTATCGTAAGTCTAACACATAGAATTGGTAACATATAGATCAATCTACAATATAACATAAAATTTTTGGCGATCGGAGTAAATGTCACGTGGTTATAATGCCACGCCCCTTTGAGGTCTGAGTCGAAAATCTGCTGTTGCCGGAATTTTTTCGTGAAAATCTCTCGGCTACACATAGTGCGCATTAGTGCCTTGCGCTGAACAGAGTTTCTCCAAAATCGCAAAGACCCAATTCGAGAAATTCAGCGGTTTCCAAATTTAGGTCATAATTTATGCGAAAATGATAAGCAAACTTTACACGGATAATATCTAATAAACTATGAGATTCATCTCTTTATTTTGGGCATCGTTATAACAGATAGGTCCTTGCAAGTCAGCAAAACGCTTTAGGGCCTTGTAAATGCGCGCGATTTCGAACAAAGCAAACATATAGAAATTATAGTTTTCGCTATTTGTTGACGTTTGTCAGAGTTTAAGAGTCCTTCTCACGAAAAAAGCATTTTCTTAAAAATTCGTAGTTTTTTTTCCTTCAAATTTTTTCAGGGCTACAATTGATTAACTAACTACTCGGACTCCGAATTTCATGGTCATTGAAAAACTGTGACATTATCTTCTATAAGCCCAGACTTGAGTAAACATTGAAGATTTTTAGCGTTTCGGCTGAGTTTGTGCTTTGGGAGTTGTCTATTGTTTCTAGTCTGTCATTATACAGCATTCTTGTTCAGCACGCGTGCAATGACCGCGCTTGGCTGACTTCCGAATGCTCACCGAGATATAATAATTTTGGTACAGTGAGACAGGCCATCGCGTGATACATAGAGGTTTAAGTCACAATTTTTAATCAATTCTCGTGCTTCTTGTGCCTTTGCAAAAAAATCAAGAAGTGCTACACACTAAATCTACTTACTATTAAAAAAATATCATTTTTTCATAGGTTTAATGCAAGCCAATAATTAAACCAACTCGTGACGGGAATATCTCGGTGAGCATTCGGAAGTCAGCCAAGCGTGGTCATTGCACGCGTGCTGAACAAGAATGCTGTATAATGACAGACTAGAAACAATAGACAACTCCCAAAGCACAAACTCAGCCAAAACGCTAAAAATCTTCAATGTTTACTCAAGTTTGGGCTTATAGAAGATAATGTCACAGTTTTTCAATGACCATGAAATTCAGAGTCCGGGTAGTTAGTTAATCAATTGTGGCCCTGAAAAAATTTGAAGGAAAAAAAACTACGAATTTTTAAGAAAATGCTTTTTTCGTGAGAAGGACTCTTAAACGCTGACAAACGTCAACAAATAGCGAAAACTATAATTTCTATATGTTTGCTTTGCTCGAAATCGCGCGCATTTACAAGGCCCTAAAGCGTTTTGCTGACTTGCAAGGACCTATCTGTTATAACGATGCCCAAAATAAAGGGATGAATCTCTTGGTTTATTAGATATAATCCGTGTAAAGTTTACTTATCATTTTCGCATAAATTATGACCTAAATTTGGAAACCGCTGAATTTCTCGAAGTGGGTCTTTGCGATTTTGGTGGGACTCTGTTCAGCGCAAGGCACTAATGCGCACTATGTGTAGCCGAGAGATTTTCACGAAAAAATGCCGGCAACAGCAGATTTTCGACTCAGACCTCAAAGGGGCGTGGCATTATTACCACGTGACATTTACTCCGATCGCCAAAAATTTTATGTTATATTGTAGATTGATCTATATGTTATCCATTCTATGTGTTAGACTTACGATAAAAGTAAAGGTGGGGATACCAGAGAGCTTCAAAGTAGGATGGTACCCCCCGAAAAAAACTGGGTCGAGTCACCTTAAGGGAACGCACACGGAACGCAAAGGGAACACACCAACGAGGTTAATTTTCAACATAGTCCACTACTAACAGCTGGGTGAAAAACCTCCCCGTACGTCCACTTGCCTGGGAGGAAAACCCCAGGCCAGCTGTACCCCATAAACAACGGTCCCCCGGGAAAGACCAACTAAATAAAAACTAAAATAGATTAAAAAGCGGTACAAACGAGAAAACTAAATACCTAAAGCCTTATAGAAACCGACAAACGTGAAGAGAAGGAATCTTGGACATACCCGCCCTTAGCCGATTCACTAGCCCAGCGGCCATGACGCTTAAAAAGTCGGTCTGGTACGCCAGCATTTGTGGCAGCAGTAACAAAGGCAGAAATATTAGTTACAATATCTTTAAAAGCTTCCAGCACTAATTTTCTTAACCGTGAATAGCTTAAACCTTTAGATCTAGGCTTATGACCATATTTAGTATTTAAAAGCTGGCAAAACAAAGGGCTACCGCAGGAAAGCCCAACTCTTTCTAAATAACGGTTCACCAAAACGATAGCAACCGGACAAGTTGTTTTCCCGGAAGAAGCTACAACAATCCAAGCTCCATCCCTATACTGATCAGTTTTACTAGATACAACAGATTGAGGTCTTAGGCACGAGAAAATGGCTTGACAGTTTTTCCTGCTTCTCCGTTTCACTTTGCTATTTATTTGCGTCATTTAGTGACTAAGGCGAAGACAGCATCTCCCCTGGAGTCAGCAGTTCATAGCATTGCCTGGTTTCACCAGTTGGGTGGCGAGCCATCTCCTTTTGATCATCCTTTGTGAAGAGTATTCTTGCCGGTGCGCAGCGTTTGCTGGCCCATCAAACATCCAAGAACGAGCCTATCACAGTCTCTCAGTTACAGCAGTTAGTTGCCTGCAAGGCGGACTCGATGGCCTCTTTGTACAATATTCGTTCGGTTGTTATTTGCTGGCTAGCTTTTGCTGCCTTTCTCAGATTTGATGAGCTTTTTAAGCTAGTTCGATCCGATGTTAAGATCGAAAATGACATGTTACAGGTTATTTATTCCAAGAAGAAAAATACTTGGAGGCAGTACCGGGAGCTCTGCTAGCCAACGCAACATCCAGAAGAGAACTTGCAAGGGATTATAAAACACCAGATCGCTGGAGAACCGCAGCCCGAAGATCCGACCACATAGTAGAGCTGAAAACATCTGCAAAATAAAAGCAGATTTAAGAACACACACACACACATAATAAAATACAAGCAAAAATGACCAGAACGCTGAACAGCAAAACCGAGATGAAAAACAAAACCAGCACGCTCAAATATATACCCCCGCTAATTACTCACATACCACCGCGCATTCCTAAACAAACATAAGATACCGATGAGAGCATATTTTCCTGATAATTACCAAGTCAAAGGCAGGAAAATACTACTTCGTTCAACCTCATTTAACTTTGATCCTTGATTTCAGTTTAATTTATTAGCGCAAAATCCGCCAAAAATAAAGCCAATTTGAATTGCGTCAAGTGACAGGTTATATCACGCATTCGCGGGGTGGTCTCTTTTCCCATCCGCTGTATTTCCTCGAAAATCGATTATGAAGTCAATGTGGACCAGCACGCCGTCATAGTTATGGCTAGTAGGTAACTGTCTATGCTTTTAAATTAATCAATTTAGATACTGGTGTTTACACATCGTTACTGAAGACTTCTCGTTATCATCATTATCATTATCATAACCTTGCCATTATCATTAGCCTGCGAGCAAGCTTTCCGGGATGCTCTGGCAACGGGACGGGAAAAGGAAGGAGAGCTTGCAACTACGTCCCTGGAATCTGAATATCTGCATAGAAAAAGTCGATGCGAAATGCTGATTGGCGGAGATGACATTAGTAATGGCGTCATTACCCTCGGCACGCGTCTTTCAATGTATGTTTACATTGGCGCTCGTTTCCACTTCGCGCTGATTGGCGGAAATCTGACTGCTCAGTCGACGGGCAGTCACAGAGAACTGGAGGTGGAGTTCAAATTCCAGAGACGTAGTTGCAAGCTCTCCTCTCGCACCGGAGAGCTTGCCCTAAGGCTCGATTATCATAATCATGATTATCATGATTGTACTTAATAAATGGTAATGGATAAAAGTGCCATCCTTCCAATGCTAAAGATCGTTTTACTCACGTGGCTAGTGGCTATAAAAACTTATTGCCCCCAAAGAAACCGTGCGAACAGAGTCTCCTTCGATCT